TTTATGACGGTTGCAGTATCCTGGGGCCACACGATCCCCTTTTGTGACCTCCTGACAAGCAAACTCAATGGGGGAAGCCAGATTCACTTAACAACTAGTTTACTACAACTGCAATGATTAATTTAACAACCACAGTGATTCACTTAACAACAGTGACATGAAAAGTCGTAAAGGGGGGAACAATTCAATTAACAAATGTCTCACTTAGCAACCTAAATTTTGGGCTCAATTGTGGTTATAATTCAAGAATTATTTATACTAGTTAAACCTGATGGTTTCCTGATATGTTGCTTTACTGGGTACGACAATGACATTTAAACAAGCAGAATCAATAGCCACCACTGGCCCTGTTGCTAGGATACTTTCTTTTCAGTAGCATATTTCTCTATAAGGCAGTTTCTTTCCAACATTATCTATGCCGCTCTGCATCAAAAGGCTCCACTCAATTAGCTGGCAACCAAGTCAGTTGAGCAACCTACCTGCTACATCATACCACTGAGCTCCGTTGGTGATGCCATCTTTGAAGGTTTCTTTCTCTTCGCCAGGACAGTTTGGGGTGCCCGTTTTCATGATGGGATTGTTTGATGCATAGGCTTTTGCCAGGTATTTGAAAACTTCGTCGTCAGCCGATTTACTGTATATGCCCGAGGACTTGTGTGACTTTGAGTCATCAAATGGATAGCTTGCAACAACGGTTCCCCCATGAAAGTTCCCGGAAAGCACAAACCTGTATTTAAAAAACAACAACAGAACAACACTAATCAAAATCTCAGCAGTTTGGAGGTAAAGAGTATTTATTTTCCTACTAAAGTAGTTGTATTTGAATCAGCAGCAGCAAAACCAAATTGCAGAAACATCAATGGATACCTGAAAACTATGTAACCTCACAATGAAAAAGGGGGAATGCCCTAAATATAGCAGATCGATTGCAGAAGATGAGGAGGGGATTCTACCTTTATTTAAATATCGGTGCTTTTAGTTACTTTCTTTCCAGCAGTGCAAAAAGGATATGATACTGTTCAATGTTAAGCAAGCTAGCATCAAAAAAAATCTTTTTAAGAAGTTATGTGCCAATCAGAACATTACATTATATATTGAAAAATTATGAACAGGATTCACACATTTATTAATTCCTTCAGTAATTTATTCATAGGCTTTTAAAACCAAAGCACTCATAAGATCATCAATCAGAATAGAGCTGGAAGGGACCTTGGAGTCTTCTAGTCCAGCCCACTGCTCAAGCAGGAGACCCTATACCATTTCAGACAAGTGACTGTCCGGTCTCTTCTTGAAAATCTCCAGTGGTGAAGGAAGGAAGGAAGGAAGGAAGGAAGGAAGGAAGGAAGGAAGGAAGGAAGGAAGGAAGGAAGGAAG